GCTCTGATCGTACGTCTGATAGGACGTTCGATTGTACTCTATCGTAGCATCGTCTCCGAAATATCGTATCAGTTTCTTGGGCGGTCGAAGATTACCGAAACTGTCAAAGTACACAACGCGATTGTTTCTCTTTGCGTACGCTATCCAATGAGTACCGGGACCCGTCGTGTCGTCCAGATTTACAATACCGCTCTTTTTTCTACGCGCGCCGCTAATCGGTAATGCGTCACGCATAAAAACGCCTCTAAAGTACGGTACGCGCATACGTTTCACCAGCTGGTCCAATTGTACGTTGGTGGTTACACCCGTAAGTATTTTTATTGTCTCTTTGGCGTTTTTTTTTTCTTTTTTTCTTTTTTTCGCTGTTACTCCTCGTTCGCGTTTGTATGGAGCGAGATACAGTCCCTGTCTGCGCATTTCCATCGCGCGACGTTGTCAGTTCCTCGAGTTGACGTTGCGCGACTTTCCTGTCGTTTACCGCTTTCACCACGCTGGCCGCTCCGCCGATTAAGCCCGAGAGCACCCAAAATTGGCAAAATCGGTAATACACCATCTCGTTTCGCCGTTGGAAGTATTCGTTTCTTTTTTTTGCCGGCTTTTTTCTTCCCCTTCATACCCATGCCGATCTTGGTCTTGACTTTCATCACTGTCCAACGACTGCAGCTGCAACTTTCTCGCTCAGAGCCGAATCTCTCGCGATGACGCGTCCTAGGGCTTTATCGGCGAGTACCTTGTCCATTGCGTGTCTGTGAGATCGTTGCTCTGAGAATACGCAATGTCGTGTTCACGGCACGCCGCGTCCAATGGATTTATGCCCGTTTCACCTCTGGCTAATCGCTTTTTCAGCCGAGTACCCGGACCGCAAAACTGATAGCCGGGGATATGTAGTTCGAAAGGAAGCGCGTTTATCGCTCGATTGAGCAGACCAATGTAGCCTTCGTTTGATGCTATTGCTGGCATAGGCCACAATCCTTTATCTTCGGTGCAGGATCGTCTATATGATCTCGATCCCACGATTGATTATAATGCTCGACGCAGCGACGATAAGTTCGAACCTCCAAATCCGCCTTTATATACTCCGGAAGCTTGTCCCACACGTGGTCAATATAATTACCGCACACGTGTAACAGTACGACCTTCGGTATATATTGCAACTGCTCAGCGCTCAAATCCCGAATATCGGAGGGATGCGACAGCGCAAGATACATTTTGCTACTGAGCGATTCGTGGTTTCGCGCGCCTATAAATAGGCGTTCGATCGAAGCCTAGATAACGCAGTGCGAACATGAAATTTGTACGGCAGCCGCTGACGATACGCGTCGCGAATTGTGACGAGAGAGCGCGAATGATGGGAAACATCGCGACGGAGCGCAAGCACGGTGAAATGTTACCGAGTACTATACGCGCCATCATTTGCGGGCCGTCGAATTGTGATAAAACCAATGTTCTCATAAGCTTGCTCGAGAGTCCGCACGGTGTACGTTTCAAGAACGTGTACGTATACTCGAAATTACTGCAACAACCAAAATATCGATATCTCGAAACTTTGTTGACATCGATAGAAGAAATCGGCTACTTTACGTTCTCCAACAACAGTGACGTTATTCCACCGAGCGAGGCACGTCCCAATTCGATCTTCGTCTTCGACGACGTTGCGTGCGATAAGCAAGATGCTGTGAGAGAATACTTTTCGATGGGCCGCCACTCGAACGTCGATTGCTTCTATCTCTGTCAGACGTACGCGAGAATATCTAAACATCTGATACGCGACAATGCGAACCTGCTGATTCTGTTCAAGATGGTATCAACTTGAAACATGTTTACAACGATCACATAAATACCGACATGTCATACGATGAATTCTGTGCATTATGCCGCGATTGTTGGCAACGCGAATATGGATTTCTAGTGATAGATAAGGACAGTCCGCTTATCAATGGGCGATACAGAAAGGAATTTAATACGTTCGCGGTACCGTAACGTGGTTAATCGATGTCGATACGTGGAGCAGGCAACATGGATAACACCAAAGATCGCGAGAAAATAGCGAAACAGATTGCGAAAAACGAACGAGTCGATTCGCAAAAAATATCGCGCTTTGAAAATTGGTAAAATAGCTAAAGATACAGCGTTGGAGAAACGCTTCAATCGTCGAATCTCTAAAACAGATTGTTGAAAAAACCGAGGAATCTCAATCGATTGAAAGAGAAGCAAAGGATCTCGGTATTAAGAAAAACAAAAACGTGAAGACAGCGATGACGACAACGATAACGATATTACTACTACTGACAAAGATTCATATTGGACGGATGTTGGATGGTTGAAATTAACGCCGCAGTCTAAAAAACGATGTACAACGAAAGAATTGAAAGCCGCGTCAGATTCACTCGTGTTCGAGTCTACACCGATACAACCATCGAAAGACCCACCGAAAGAATCACCGCTGTTCCTGCAAAAGGAAGATGTTTTCGAAACAAAAGATGTCAGTGAACCGTCATTCGAAACAATCATCAAACGGACTCTGCAAACGCAACAAGGTCGAGAGGCGTTGCATAATCAACTGGGACCATTAGGGCAAAAATACGTAAGCCCTCTCCTCGATGATAATGGAAAAAACGATACATTTGATCGCGTATACGGTGTTTATTTCGATAAAAACAGGTGCGATGCTTGATGACAAGAAATTTGACGTTGACAAAAATGACTCCATAATCATAGACAATGTGAGATACAATGGTACACCAGGATTGTACGAATTGATCTTCAAGAGACTTCCCGATGACGCGGTTTTTACCGAGGATGACAAACAAACGTATAAAAGTATATTGTTAACAACAAATGCTCATAGACGTCACAGCGCCCATAATCCCATTAAGGGCAATATCTCCAAGTATATCCAACCATCCAAGTATATTAACATCATCGCTCCGCTCGTATGGAAGTAGCGGGCGTAAAAAGGGTGCAGGCGTGAGCAATATACCAACCGCCATGAAGTTAAACGACAACAAGATCGATTACGTGCATTGGGACGATCCCAACGAACTGGTGGATCGACTCCGATTGCTCGACGCTTCGCACCGAGCTGGTAACAACGCTCACGACAACGAGATGCTATCGATCATCGAGGAACTTCGCGAAGCCGGCATTATTATAAATTAATCGCGTATCGACGAAACGAGCCAGTCGATTAACGTCAGTGAGGAAAAAAACAATTTTAAATTGTATATCTTATTTACTATTAAACATCGTTGAAACATGCGATCCGATGGACGTGAAAAAAATGTTAGCTCCGAGAGGCGACGACTCGTTGAGGAATTGCACGCTCTGGCGAGAAGAAATTTTCCGCGAAGACGTGTCATAATTCGGGGATACGACGATCTGTGGCAAGCTGACATCGTCGAGATGCGTCCGTATTCGAGTTTCAACAGAGATCATCACTACATATTCACCGTCATCGATGCGTTGAGCAAGTACGCCTGGGCCGTACCGCTCAAGAGCAAGATCGGAAGCGAGACGGCTAACGCTATCGCTAAGATTCGAGAGAGCGGAAAATGTCTGAGAAACTTGCAAACGGATATGGGAAAGGGATTTTACAATGCCGATGTGCAAAAACTCTTGAAAAAACACAACGTTAATCATTATTCCACGTATACGGTGTTGAAGGTATCGATCGTCGAGCGATTCAATCACACACTTAAAAACGACATGTGGAAGATGTTTACGTTCAACGGCACTTACAAGTGGGTCGACGCGCTACCGCGTCTCGTGTCAGATTACAACGCGCGCAAGCATCGCACTATCGGCATGCGACCCGTTGACGTAACTCCCGCGATCGCCAAAAGACTCTTGGATACGGTATACAGCGCGATAAAGATCGCAGGTCCAGCAAAATTCAAAGTAGACGAATCGATGAGCAAGTACAAGACAATTTTCGAAAAAGGTTACACGCCAAATTGGATCACCGAGGTGTTTAAGATCGTTAAAGTGCAGCGTACTAATCCCGTAACTTATCTGCTCGAGGACTATCGCGGAAAATCGGTCGCGGGCGCGTTCTACGAGCACGAATTGCATCGCGCGACTCATCCGGACGTGCATCTCGTGGAGAAAGTACTACGCAGGAAGGGAGACAAAGTTTACGTCAAGTGACTGGGATTCGATAGATCGCATAACTCATGGATAAACAAAAGCAGTGTGATTTAATTCATTTTTTTATTTTTATAATGTATTTAAAAAATAAATATACACTGTATACATATATACAAAGAGTTTTTATTATTTTTTTTCTTCCATTACATTTTTTTAAACTATACATGTATGTAACTTACGAGAACACATAAAACTACATGTATTATAAACAATATATGTATTAAGCCGAGTATACATTAAATAAATCGAAGAGAATTAAAGCTAATTCCTCAGCAAGCAAGATCTTGGTTGCTATTATAAATTTTATATATAAAATAAATTTTATTGTAAAACTACATATAAAAACTATAAAAAAATACATATATCTATACTACATACATAACAGTATCGTATCGTATAAAACAGTATCGTATAAAACTACAAGAATACATACGTTCATACATACATACATAGATATGATACATAGATATGTACATACATACATACATGCGTGCATATATGCATACATATAAACTATATAAAAAATATAAAAATATATGTGCATTGTATAAACATGTATATATATATATATATAT